TCAGTCCTTTTTGCAGGATTGGGGTGTAAGCCACACCACAGGCATTCCACACACCCCCACGGGCCAGGCGATTGTTGAACGCACGCACCGCACTCTCAAGACCCTTCTTGATAAACAAAAAAGGGGGAATCCAGTGGGAATGACCCCACAGGAGCGTTTGGACAAAGCTATGTATGTGTTAAACTTTTTAAATCTTTCTCATTTGTCTTTCACGGCAGCACAGCGCCACTTTGGGCGAGACTCTGCGTGGCCGGAGCTGCCACAGGTTTACTACAGACACCTGGAATCCGGACAGTGGCAAGGTCCCGTTCCATTAATCACGTGGGGATATGGGTATGCCTGTGTTTTTCTTCCCTCAGGTCCCTATTGGCTTCCTGTGCGATTTGTTAAGCCAGCCAGGATTGGTACGCCATCGGCGCAAGAGATTCAACTCAAGAATGAAGGGACTGCTGTCGATCCATAGCGACAAATCCATGACGGTCACCGCTGCATTTTTGTGGTTCCTGTGGAGCAGTTTCTGTGTGCATACTGCGACAGCACGTTTGTATTGGGCGTACATCATTGATCCCCTCGTATTCAGGCCTGTGACGTGGTGGGATCCCTCACCGCCCATCAGTAACAATGGTACCGATTGGATGGGAGGGGTGTGGATACCCCCTACAGCGGAACAGGAAACCGAGGTTGTTAATGTTACCAATGTCACCTTTGTCAATGACCTCCCATCGCTTTGCTTTTCTACCCTTTGTGACTCAGGTTGTGTGCCCGTGCAGCCACAGTTGCACCTAGTGGCGCGGGAGCATGATGGAAGGGTTAACTATACCTTACTGAGCATTCCTGGGATGCACGGAAGCGGTAATGACTCTTGGGAGCCATACGCCCCTGATTTGCCCCGCTGCATGATAAAGAGGATATCAGCGGACGCGGCACCAGTTTGGCAGGCATGTCGTGGACGCAGCCCCCTGGTACTCCGGGGTGGGATGCACAAAAGCGGTAATGACTCTTGGGAGCTGTATGCCCCTGATTTGCCCCGCTGCATGATAAAGAGGATATCAGCGGACGCGGCACCAGTTTGGCAGGCATGTCGTGGTACTCCGGGGCGAATTTGGCACGGTTGTGGATTGGGGCCCTCACGGTATGCTGTGGGATAAAGTGGACAATCGCACTGTCCCCTTCGGCCGGTAAAATCATAGCCTTTCGTGGCATGGGGGAGGCTCTGCCGGTCCTGTGTTACAATTTATTACTAATGGGGATAACGCCACGGCCTCCACGTTACATAAGGGGGTGTGGTGGATAGGGTTAGCATTTATGGGTTATAATCTAGGGAGTTTGATTTTAGAGAATTATACATCTAACTATATTAAGCAGCAAGATAATAGTGTTATGGTTTGTACTTTGCATCCATATGTTTTTGCCTTGGCAAAAAATGCAAGTTTTAAGAGATGTAATTTTTTCATTCTTGTTATTTTGTTATGTTGTCTGAGGTGCGATATAAGATCTGCATTTCCATGAGTGATAATGTAACCTTTGTGTTCCCTCTTTGACGACACCCTGAGTTATGGATTCCTGTTAACCTAAGAGGTACTAGGCACAGGTTGTAAGCACATTCCAGAGAACACCTCATGAAGAAACATCTTGGTACCAGGACACACCTCACAGATAACAGGAACACACCAGCCTAGGTTCAGGATAGGGTCTAAACTGACAGCATGATAGTAATCCAAACCCCATGTACAAGGTAATGGATTTATCTAGGTACGTCAGGAGTGATGTGTAACTTGTTTGTACCTGTGTATAAAAATACACCCCAAAGAGTTGTCTTTGTCCAGTTGAGGAGGCAGTGTGTATCCCTGGCAGTGACTGTGCTGAGACCATTGTCAGGGACTACATATGCATAGTGGTTCAGTAGAGTCTACTGACAGCTACAGTACTATTATATTTTGTTTGACAATAAAGTTGGCCTGGTACCTTCAATCCTGGTCTTTGGGAGCTCCCAGGGACTCTGTTGTGTCAACTACTTGCGCAAAGTCAACCCTACAGACAGGAAGAGCATATGCACACAGCTGAATAGTTATCATCATTGAAGGAGCAGGAGACCTGTCAGGATACCATACCAGTGCCTCCTGACTACTACAGCAATTTGAAAGCACATACATGTAAGCCAAATTTAGCAATTGGACAATCAATAAAATCAGTCATAAATAACATCTTAGGATTCTGCTCATAGTCCTTCAGTCTATAACTTAGAAAGGTACAGGACAGAGGTGAAATTTTCCACTTTGTTCTTATCTTTGAGAATCTTCTATCTTAACTTGTTCATAATTCAGAGAATAATTTGCATAATGCCTTCTGTTTCTGCAAACATTCTTGCCAGATAACCTCAATGGAATGTGTCTGAAGAGCAAATACAAATGAGGCCTGAACAAGGAGAAGTAAATTCACAAAGCTTGAACAAAAATCAATAGAATTTTTATTGCAGTATTTCCTCACCTCTGTTAAGGTCTAATCCAAAATACACTGAAATCAATGGAAACACTCTTAGTCATCATCTTCAAGTGACTTTTGCAGACAAGGAAAAGGTCCAATTTTATGTGTAGTAATAACAGTTGTCACAAGGAAGATTCCTTTATGGTTCTATTTCATCCTACATGTCTAAGTCTTACAGAATACAGTAAAACTCCAATAGTCCGGCATCCAATTGTACAGCACTCCCGATAGTCCAGCATCAAAATGGCAAGAGCCTGGTGAGTGAGCTTCAGCAAAAAAAGAGTCACAAGGCAGCAGCGGCAGCAGCTGAACCAAGCAAAACCGGACGAGACCTAGTCAGTCTGCCACTGGTATTGTGTGATGCTGGACAGTGCTTGTGCTACAATAAAAAGGGTTAAAAACACTGTATATACTGTATATATATATAACCAGTTTATGTACCTCCTGATAGTCCGGCATATTTGATAATCTGGCACCACATAGGTCCCAAAGGTTCCAGATTATCAGAAGTCTACTGTACTAGAATAATTGTTTTTCTTCTGTATCTTCCTCCCAAAAAAACCACTCACCTCAAATAACTGTCAGCCACCCTGATCCCTGAATAATACTTACTCTCTGGCTACGTCTACACTGGCCACAATTTCCGGAAAAGCCATGCAAATCAGGTAAGTCAGGATAGGGAAATCCGCGGGGGATTTAAATATCCCCCGTGGATTTAAATAAACATGTCCGCCACTTTTTTTCCGGCTTGGGGAAAAGCCGGAAAAAAAGCGTCTAGACTGGCGCGATCCTCCGGAATAAAGCCCTTTTCCGGAGGATCTCTTATTCCTACTTCAAAGTGGTCAGTGCTGGGCATTGTGGGACAGCTGCTGGGGAACTGGTCATATCGATTTAAGAGTGTTGACATTTGTGCTTCATTTACTTCAATACATCAGCAATGACTCAGCACTGCTTGGTAAGTGATTACTATGACAATGAAATGGAGAGCTTATGCTAGTGATAGACAAATGTAAGTGTAATACATGCACAACTAGGTTGATGCAAGGTGGCTTATATTGACCTAACCCTGTAGTGTAGAACAGGCTGCCCTGATGCTCTTTGGTTGTAGGATTGTTTTTATTGGCTGGTATTCAGTCTATTACACTCATATTCTTTCAAAGGTAAAATAAAAGTGTACAATATATTTTGTAGTACTGGCTATGGACAAACCTTTAGCAATGTGCCATCATTCTCAGGCGACAGCTCATTTGTTAAATGTAAACAGCCTGCGCATCCCCCCTCTCTGTTTTTATTCCCAGCATCTCCTATAAATGCCATATAAATTATCTTTTACATTATTTACTACACTGACATCTTCATCTGTTAAGTTTTCATAACAGATTTAATTTGAATGAATTGGTCTGTTTGGCTACGTCTACACTGGCCCCTTTTCCGGAAGGGGCATGTTAATTTCAGCTATCGTAATAGGGAAATCCGCGGGGGATTTAAATATCCCCCGCGGCATTTAAATAAAAATGCCCGCCGCTTTTTTCCGGCTTTTAAAAAAGCCGGAAAAGAGCGTCTACACTGGCCCCGATCCTCCGGAAAAAGTGCCCTTTTCCGGAGGGTCTTATTCCTACTTCAAAGTGAAATTTACATGCCCCTTCCGGAAAAGTACTTCAAAGTAGGAATAAGAGCCTCCGGAAAAGGGCGCTTTTTCCGGAGGATCGGGGCCAGTGTAGACGCTCTTTTCCGGCTTTTCTAAAAGCCGGAAAAAAGCGGCGGACATTTTTATTTAAATGCCGCGTGGGATATTTAAATCCCCCGCGGATTTCCCTACTACGATAGCTGAAATTAACATGCCCCTTCCGGAAAAGGGGCCAGTGTAGACGTAGCCTTAATGTTTTATCATCATTTAACTCATTTAATATGAAAGCAAATAATGTATCATTGTATTTCTGATTTTAACCAAATTATTGTATTTAATAACGACTAGCTAGATAATGTATTTTGTTTCTTTGATGATTATGTATATTCCTTCCTATGAAAAGACTATCATCTCAATGAGCAACAGAATTCTGAATGTTGCAAAACCATGTTTTAGTGTATAGATAATCCTTACTTATCAAAAGTGAAGTTTGTATTTCGATAACGTTACAAAGTAAAAAATTGCAAAAACTGAGCCTGGTTACTCTCTCTAACTCAGAAGACAATACAAAATGTAAATGAATGCATGTTAGAATAGAAAGAAAGCACAAATATTAGCAAAGTGATTGCTCCTGGAATGGAATGATTGTTTAATACACCAATAGGTTATTTAACCATCTGTAGGAAACTTGAAATATCCTTTCTGGAATTTAGATGACTTTTTACTGCACAAGAAATCTAAATCATGATGTGACTCTGCATAGGGCAACGAAAAGGAAGGCAAAGAGTTTCCTGTGTCCCTTCTAATCTTTTCCATCCATGTGTGGATTTTCTCCATCCATCTGCAGAATAAATTTTTATGTGTACTGAGGCATGTGTGAATGTGTATCACCAGTAGAAACAAAAACTTAGTCTGCTAATCAGCTGGGTAGCATATAAATCTCTCCTGAGTGGTCACACAAATTAGCAGGAACAGTGGTAATTTCCCAGTTTCCAATGAAGCATCTCCCTGTCTGGATACCGCTAGATAACACTTGCCTAAGATGAGTTATTCTCAGTACTGAGTTGTTATTGAGTTAGGGGGCAGTTTTGTCATATGGTCCACAAATCCACAATATAGTGTACTGTTCTTTACTATATTTTCAACAAATTTCCTTTTTCTGAAATTAGATTTACTGGCAATAGAAAGGGAAAACTGAAGAGAGCAAAATAGGATTTTATAGCAGGACCATGGCTATTGCTGGATCCCTGGCCTTGGCTGGCCAGGTTCAGAAGTGCAGCCCAATCCAGGCTGGTGGCATAGTGGGAAGCACAGACTTGGTCGGGACTGGCAGCAGGAAGTGTAGCTCCAGTCAGGGCTGAGGGCAGCAGGGCCAGTGAGTCATCAGGGCCTGCAGCTGAGCACGTAGCCTGGACCAATGCCAGTGGCGGAAAGCACAGCCCTAGCCAGGCTGGAGGCAACAGGGTTGGACCCCGGCTGGGGTTGGCATGGTGTGGTGGCGGAGGCAGTGGGGTAGTGATAGGGAGTGCAACCCCAGCCAGAAGCAGAGCCCACGCCTGGGTGGAGAGCCTTAACCTCACCTGGTGGAGCAAACTCCATGGTTTGGAGCCACTCATATCCCGAAAGTGCCAGACCAGGAAGGTCCCACCTATATTAAGTCTCTTTGTAACTCCTAAAAGAACAATACAATAAAATGGTATTTAACCAAAAACAAGGAGCAGCAGGAGCTGCTGCCAACATGTTCCTGTGGCCTGGGGGAAGTGTGTGTGCAGTCCCGTCCTTAAGTGTAAGCTGTGAAAGTATTAACTCATTTTGTGAAACTTACTAGAGATCAGTGAAAGCCAGCTCTCCAGTTTTGTTCACAAACCTCCTGATTATTGGGTCTTTTTTTCTAGAAAGTCTCTGCCACATTATCACAATTAAGTCAGATCTGAGAACTTCACTACCTGATGCCTCATGCATTGCTATCAAGTATGATCACTCTCGTTTAATAGATTGTCTGTTGTTTTGTGCATGTTATTAGAAGAGAATCCCAGCCTTCTTTTCTTTTCTTTTCTTTTCTTTTCTTTTCTTTTCTTTTCTTTTCTTTTCTTTTCTTTTCTTTTCTTTTCTTTTCTTTTCTTTTCTTTTCTTTTCTTTTCTTTTCTTTTCTTTTCTTTTCTTTTCTTTTCTTTTCTTTTCTTTTCTTTTCTTTTCTTTTCTTTTCTTTTCTTTTCTTTTCTTTTCTTTTCTTTTCTTTTCTTTTCTTTTCTTTTCTTTTCTTTTCTTTTCTTTTCTTTTCTTTTCTTTTCTTTTCTT